TTCTATTGTTCTCAGCATCAGAAAAGGATTACATCGTCTGAAGAGATGCATTTTACTGAAAGACAATGTTTACCGCACGCTAATTCTTTTCGACTAGGCTACGATTAAGAACCTATTCTCGAGAAAAACTCTTAAAGATCTCTGCTTTCGATAAAACATGAATGATCAAATTTTCTCACAACTTAGACATGCTATGACATCATCGATGAATATCACTTGAAAATCATCTACTGACTTATGCGTTTTTTTATACTAATCTTACATTTCATTTTGGACAACGTAGTTATTCTTAAAGAAAAGTTTAGTTTGAGAGCAATAATGTTCATACCTGCCAATGGAAAAATATCGTCTCCGAGAACAACGCATAAAGCTGTTGTCAAGAAGAGAGTGATTTGATGTTCGACTGCGCAGAATGAAAATGAACTACGACTGTTTTCACTGTCATCAATCAACAATAAGCGAGATAAACTTATCGTTTTGTCGTTTTGTTCATGTAACAACCATCATAATCTATGTGTCTATCAAGAAAATAGAGAACTGCTTTGGAATAATTGTGTCTCCTGCACTGTTTTCTACAATCAATCAATTTTCATCAATAGAAACAAATATCTTGTTTTCTAAATAATCTTCTTCATATTGATTGCAGCAGATAAGGAAAGCGAATCGTTCAACAAAAGTCAGTTAAAAGTCTACATCAATTCTAGAAGAGTGAATATCAAACTCTGGACTAAAACGAAGCGATTTTTCTACATAGTCTTCTTAAACGTTTGTTCAATATCTACAAACCCATTATCGTCTATTGACTTTTTTGCTATGTTTTCATACATTGTATAATATTATTTACTCTGTATGTTTCCTTATATTTGCATGCTTTTTTCCGTTTCTCCCATTTGGTTCCTATATATACATATTCTCTCCTGTATGTCTGTTTGTTCTCCTTCTATATGTACGTAATTAATGTTTTTAAGTAGCAAAATCATCACTTTCTACCTTTACACGTTAGTGATCAGTCACATATTATATCCTTTTTCTTCTTTTTCTCCTGCCACTCGTGGTGTTGTTCACCTTCACCACAATCATCTTCACATTCTCTTCATCACAAACAACCAAGCGTTGAAGATGGTCTCCAACCCTTTACTTCCACCAGACCTGTCAACATTCCTCAATCGTTTCTCGAAAGGCGAACTTTATCAAATCGGTTTAACCATTATTCAACAATCACAATACCGCATCCAATTACAACAACAAATTCATCATCCAGGGCCCTCTCAACTTACACCTCGTCGTCTGCCTCGACCTACCCGTTCGTCTCTCGAAAATGTTTCGTCCATTCCTCCTCTCATGAATCATTAACCTCATTGTTCAATAGTACGTCCTCTTATGAACCAACAAACCACCCCCGTATCTTCTACTCCAAGACGTCCAGCAAGTGATAGTTTTGACAATAGTGGCGGAAATCGTAATCGTCTAGCAAAACATTCAAGAAACAATGATCATCCACCTCATTATGAACCAATTGACCAACAACATCATCCTATACTCGCTCCTCATCATCATCAACAACATGCCTTTAATCTGAACATTCTGAAACATGCGGTTTCCAACAACTTGCCGAGTTTCTTTATTATATTCGATTCATCTATTGATCCTTCCAGTATTCCGTCAAGTATACAAGTTGCTATCATGCTCAAGAAATTATTTACAAATAATCAATTACCAATTAAAGATCTGTCTATGTGTGTACAAGCCGGTGCTCGAAGATTTAAATTCGCTGTAAGTGACAAGGCAGATTTTTTAACTTTATTCAATGGGACTTGGCCCCTTGAAATCGAAGATAAAAAGTTTGAAGTTATCAAGCCTCGTTCATTGCCAGATTGTCTTGCTCTGGTAGTACGATATGTTCCTTCAGATATTAAACAAGAAACTGCCCGGCAACAAATTTTAAAAGCAATTCCAGCTGCAGTTGGGTTTTCAACTATAAATTATCGTCATCGTCAAAATTCATTATATGATATTCGTTTTAATGTACGTAGTCTAGAACAATATCAAACTGCACCTGATCTTGGTAGACTAGCTATTGGACACCATTATCTACCACTAACAAGTTTCTTTAGTGGCTATCGATTAACTTATTGTACAGCATGTTGGAAAATTGGTCATATGAGAAGTAAGTGTCAATCTCCAACATGTTGTCGTAAGTGTTTAGTCCCGTTTATTAACGGAATCAGGCACAGTTGCCAAGGTGATAATCTCAAGTGTGCTCAATGTTGAGGAAGACATTTTTCTCTCGACTCAAATTGTCCTGTTGTTAAGCAATACAAGCAAGAACTTAAGTTGACTGTCGATAAAGCTTTAGCTTCTGGTGCTATTAAAAGACCTTCACCAGGTGAACTTTTCCGTCTATATTTACAACATGCCAATGATTTTCCCGTATTAAATCAGGCTCAAGTAAGTAGTCATCTGGATTGGGCTTCATCTGATAATGAAGCACTACACTCTAACCTAAAAAAGGAGATGAATAATCTCGTCCTAGCTATTAAAACATTATCAGAGACAATGATCCGGACTGAAAAAAAATTCACTGAATTGAATAGACGTATAGAGCTTCAACATAATTGCACGATACTTCATTATTATAGTATAAGTGCTGTTATTGATACGGTACAACTAATGTCTAAGTGGATGGAAAGTAATAATAATGAAAAATCGAAAGTGAAGAAAAATATAAATAAGTCAATTGAAAATCTTCAAAAATGGAAACAAAAATTAGATGTATACCAAAACAACGAACACACTACCCCCATCCCTTCCCCACAACGAACTACAACAAATAACAACAGCATTAATAACGACACTGGGGAAGTAGAAATCAATAATGACATTTCAATTAACTCACTAGGACAAGATGTCTGACTTCTCTTCTTCTCTTCTTAATGTTTATGCCCACCCCTTCCCTCCCACCTCTACCTATCATCTTCCTCCATTGTTAAAATCACCCTTCAATTTAGCACTAGACAGACTCGTAAGTTGAAAATTCTCTCTGAAAATTCAAAAACGAATTTTACCAATTTTAGAAGAATGGTATTCTAACTCTACACTTGACAATATTCTAACTAAATGGGAAAACAATCCTTGCCCTTCATCTAATCAATTTATACCCTTAAATTTCATCACATATAATGTTCAGGGCTGGGGTACCCGGGCCTTGGAAGTAATGGATTTAATCTTTAAGATTGATAGACCAGTGTGTGTATTTACCGAAGTAGGAGAACTATGGAACAGATTTAAAGTTCCACACTTTACATCATTTTATCAGAAGGACACTAATCATAGCGGAGAAGTTATGATAATGGTAGCGAAACATCTACGAGCGTCGAGAATCGATACCAACATAGAAAATACAGTGATCATGGATATCCAAGGTCTTTCCGAACAAATTAGAGTTGTTGGTATATATTGGCCTCAAGGTCAAATTCGTAATCTAAATGACTTGTGCCCCTTTATAGTAAAAGGCACTATTTTGACCGGTGATTTCAATGTAACTTCAGATGAATGGGGCACTCATTCGACTGATAAACGTGGTGTTCTTTTGTAAAATTGGATCGAAGAAAATGAACTCACCTTTATTCCCACTTCTTCTCATTCCTCTAAACGATCAGAGCGACACATCGATCTAACATTTACTAATTTGAATAGAGTCGAGAATGAAATTATATTTTTCGGTACAAGTGACCACTGGCCGACAGTCTTAAGCTCTCAAAGTGTAGGATTTATATCCAACGGCTATTTCCCACACACCGATTGAATCACTTATCAAACCATTCTAGTGCTTCTAGAAGATTTTTGGACGAATGAGCGAAAAAAGGCCTCAATTGATCATTGGTATCAGTATTATGCACGTTTCCTTGCGGCATTTAAATGTCGTTTGACTCGTTGGAAAGAACGAGAAAAATACCACCCATCTCTTCCTGCATACATAATTGAACGGCTACGCGAAGTTCGAAAGGTGCGAAATAAGTACTATAGAGAAAGGAAAATAGACGGTGTGGGTAATGAAGACCTTAGAATGTTGTTAAGAAATATGTCAAGTGAGATTCGAAAAGAGATCTACAATTAAAGATCGGCTAGATGATCCAGCTTTCTATCAACCATTCAAGCTGTTCATGATAAGCACGAAAGTTCCTTCTGGTCTCATCTTTCCAAAATCTACAAACCAAGAACATTCCCATTTTCTAAATTATCAGTAGGGACTAGAATCTTATCCGATGAGCAGGAAATCACGAAAGAGCTCTACAACTATTTTAGAGACCTA